ATACTTCACTAAAAAAAATCTGATTTTTTGCATAAAAAAAGACTTATAATGTTTACTGAAAGTCTGCTAAATATTGTGAAGATGCACATACTACATTCAAAAGTTAGTAGTATCGAAACTATAACAAGTATAAAGTGGTCACGTGGTCAGTCAATTCAACTGAGCTGATGTTGAGAGAATTAATTAAAGTTGCAAACTTTTGAGAAGCTTCGAGAGCATTCCGAGACATTCAAGATGGAAATATAATGGAAGCTGGTTCCCGAAATGAGCATTTGAACTTAGTTATTGAAATATTTGCCTACAAGAGCTCTTCAGATGTGAAGATGTCAGATAAAGCTTTTACTGTAATAGGTTATCAATTTGAGAAAATATACAGTAAAGCTGTGAGCTCAGTCAGTAACCATAGATTTAAAATACTTGTTTTCATTTCCATTTCTAAATAACCTTAATTTTTTTATCACTTGAGTAGTTTATACAATAAGTGTTAAGCTTTTGTTATATTTCTCTCTATTCAGTATAATTACTTTTACTGGTGATAGGTATTAACTTTAATGTTATTAATTATGATATGTTCAACATTCTTTGTATAATAATTGAGTATAATAAATGAACACAATATTGAGATTGATACAACTTTTAGCTTTTGAGATTTAATTTGTATGTATATATGTATAGATATATTGTCTTTTCTAGCCAAGTGACAAAGATGAAACTATCAATAAGAAAAAGACTCAGCTTGTAAAACAAGGTACGACTGAGTTATATTTATTGAAGAAGTTTTGGACCTTTTTATATTTTTAGTTGTAATTTTTGAAAAGTGTAGAATGATAATCATGCTTCATTGACTCGCTTCAGATAGGGATGTTTAAATGGCCACTAGTGCTCTGTATTAATAGCAGTAAAATAATTTATATATTTTAGTCTCACATTTTAATTCTTAGTTATGTTAACAAAGTTTGTTTTATTTCTTTCCAAAAATTACTCATTTTTTGTTGAAATTGAACTACATGGACGTTTAAAATATATATGCATCTCCTACTAGTAACAAAGTAATGCAGTCAATTTTGTGATATTAGAATAAAGTAGAAGAAATATTCTTTCTTACAATATAAATACATTGATAAATGTCCATATGAAATATGTATACACAACTAGTGGAAACAAAGACCTACATTACTGACTTAAATACAGAGCATTGTTTCAGTTTCTGTATAGCTGTCATCAGATATACTGTGGCAAGTAAATAAGAGAACTGAGTGAATAATGGAAAATTATACTTAATAATATTCAGTTACTTGCAGTGATTTAAAAATATATTGGATAAGACTAAAAGCACGCATCTTTTATATATGTGTAAATTATACTGCTAGAAAACTTAAGAACAGAGAAATCAAATTGTTACATACATGTTTTAAATAATCATATAAGTTTAAGAATTATTAAGACAAACATGCTATATACATATTGAAAATCAGTAATATATAAATTTAAATTTTGAGATGGTAACTCACCTTGTCACACAGATTAGCTATCTTCCTCAGCACATCTGCCAAAGATATTTGCATGTTGCTAGCTTTGAGGCAACTCACACTTAATTTCATGTGACTTTACCTGAATTATGCCACTACATGATGATGTCATGTGACAAAAGCCCTCCACAAGTAGGAGGGTGACACATCTCCACGCGCACTAATTTGCCCTGTGCACTTACACTGGTGAATCTTCATTCTTCTCCTTTGCGATGTATTGTACAGACGTGTTTAAATTTTACATCTGTTTTCAATTTACTGAGACTTGCATCCTTAAGAAAACTCTGATTTTTTATCATGAATTCTCAAATGACAGTGATTTATAATTAGTCCTGAGTGTGAGACATTGTTCACACCTAAGCTTTATTTCTGCTGTGACTTTTGGAGGGTTGCTAACTATCAGGGTTGTTTCAGCCAGTGTTCAACATATTATGGATTACCACATGTTTAATGAGCCTCCTACTCCCATCTCATTGGCTGAATTACTTTTTCCTCAAATGGGAATGATCTATTAGACTATGACCTTCTCCTGATTTACTTTGGGTAGTGCTTTGCTATTTGTGATTCAACCTTACCTTTCAATCTCTTTTTAGATTTCTTTCTCAGATATGTTCCTTTCCACCTCTTTTTGCCTGTGTTCTTTATTTTTCATTTTCTCACTTTCTTACCCACGATTCATGGGTTTATCTTGTCTTCCCTCTTTGCTTATTATTAGGTTTTATTCTGTTTACATTTTCTAATAACTCCTTTCTCATGCCCAAATGCCTTGTCTTCCTCATGTTTGTGACTTCTGATTTGTAGACTTATTTCTTTCCTTTTCCCAATTCCCTTTCATTGGTAGGTATCTTGTCAGCTTGGGGATCAAACCTGTTACCTTCTATTTCACTTTCTATTTCCACATTTTTGCATTTTGTGTCTTTTTCACTCTTCTATTCTGTATTCCCTCTCCTAACTCCACCTTTTATCTGAGGTACTTCTTAATGCTTCTGATGGCTTATTTCCTTCTCTGTTTTGTCTCTTCAACTTACTCTGCTCTATCTATCTATACTTTGTTCCCCTGACACTGGGGGTTGTTAGGTCAAGTTAAACTCTTCTTTATTGCACTCTTTTCTTGTTCTTGTGGACTTGTTATTTGTCTGGCCCCCTTTCATTACCCGGATGTCTTCAGTGGTGTTCTTTCCCTCTGGTGACCTGATCTGATGTTATATGACTTCTGTCTTCGTTATCTTCTCAGGTTTTTTTCTTCTTTCTCAACCTTGCCCTTTACTCATATTCCTTTTCCAGGTCAGCCACTTTCACATCTTTCCATTGTGGGTTCCAGGCCTTCTTTCTTTTTTGCATCTTCACTCTACCAGAAGTCTTGTTTGTCACTCTTTCTGCCAGTGACTATCACACATGTACAAATTGTGTTGGCTCCGTTCTCTTCTCATGCTGTTGGTCTCAGTTTCTACTGACAGTCATTTCTCCACCTTGGTCTCTTTCCTTGTCCCTCTTCTCTTTGCTTTTCTTCCCATTTCCCCCATCTCCAACCCCACCTATGGTCTTTTCCCTAGAGCCATGGTTGATGTGTATGGCACCTTCGTACATGTCTCTCTCAGCCTGTCTTCCATTTGTTTTCTCTCTCTCTCTTGTCCTCCTTTTTTGCATCTTCTCATTTATTGCTCTTCCCTGTGACTCATTATCAGCCCCTCTTTTATTCATTGGTATTGTGAAGGTTTTCTCTTGCCAAGTGGACCTTGTGAATCCAACATTTTCTTTCTTGGAGTCCTTTGTCCTTTTTTGTGAATTTTTCCTCAAGGAATTATCACATTGACTGGACCCTGCATGTACTACTTCATGTGTTCCCTTACTGCCTCTCAAACTAGATCTCTCTCGTTTTCAATGGTTCTCTCTCTGATTTAGGTACATTTTTCAATTATGACAAGACTTCTGATGTTTGGAAGCAGGACAAGAGTTTACATCAACATGTTTGATCTTCTTGCTCTTCATTGATCCAGACTGTACCTATTCCATGAACTATCATGGTAAAAGCCAGCATCAAGGAGGTGTTCTGCCCATTTCTCTGGCTTACAGTTGCTGACTTTTAAAAATAGGCCTTTGCATTCACCCATTGCACTGTCTCCAGTAAAAGACATTTCTAGACTGAAAGACCAATGGGGAGCCAAGAACCTTCTACAGGTATCCTCTTCATGAACCTCCCACCTTGTTGAGTGGAGTGTGAGAGACTCTTGCCACTTACCAGTTTCTAGCTGCTGGAGTGGTGGACCATGGAGAGCTCTCACTGATTGGAGCTCAACTGCTAGAACAAGGAGTACCAATATGGTGAGAAGTGTGGCAGTGGTGACACCATTAGTGTGTTGCGGGTCATCACTCATTATAGGTCAGGTACTTCACTCATGCTACTTGTGCCCTCCTCCTGCAGCCTAAGTCTATTTAATAGAGTTGAGGTGAGTACACACTAAATGACTGTTCCCTCCTTGTGCAGCCAGGGTTCGTTCAGTAGAGTTGAGGTGAGCATACAATAAATATGGACCAGTGCTGCATAACACAATGCCCTTCACCTGTAGAGAGAATCTATTCAATGATATCTGTTCAGCTAAGTAGAGGTGATCACTTGCTATACAATGCCAATATATTATCTATATATATTTACCTGTTTCACATGTCCTCCTTGTGCAGCCTATGCCTGTTCAATCAAGTTGAGGGGACCACACTCTATACTGGTTCTCACTACCTGACTAATTTGCCCTCTTCCCACATCTAGTGTAAGTTCTGTAGAGTCTGATGGTAGAGTTGATGTGACCACACTATATAAGCCTGTGTTAGTCCCATAGAACCTGATGGTAGAGTTGATGTGACCACAC